CTCTCCAGTTTGGAGTCCCCATAAGTAGTTTTAGTACATGGGACACACAATATGAAATAAGGAGAAATCAAATGCTCCTTCAGGAAATAATATTTGAGATCGTTTTAATGCAGGAGGATAGAGTTAGGCATGTAGCCCTGTGTAATGCTAACCCAGAAACCTGCAACCTGCTGATTCTTGCAGTAGTCCAGTCAGAAACTCAAAATTATCCTGAGGGTTGACATCCTGCTGTTGCGTTCCCAACTGGCTATAGTTGGGAATGGAAGCTCTTGCTTTTCAGCCCAATGCTTTTCTCACACGTTCTGCAAAAACACTGAGCTGCTGAAGAATTTACAGAGAGCAGATGGTAACAAAATTTGTGTAATGGTCTTTGTTCCACATCCATCAGTTAGCTGTCTTTCACAAAAGCTGACACCAGCAATGTCAAGATCTTTCCAGGTTTATACTACCATCAGTCATCCCCTTTCATTAAGCAGTGCTTCGTAGTCAGACTGAAGATGTAGGTGATGGTTACCTCCTATTTAATCATGGAGGATATAAGTGATTCTCCTAAAACTCATTCATCTCCATAAGAAAGGAATGTTTTTCCAGGTTGCTTTAGCTATTCTTTTCTACTCCCCTCTAAGCCCACAGTAAAATTCAAATGCCAGAATTAAGATGTCTGGAGAAAGAAAGGTTTGAAAAATGTACTGGCTGACAAAGCTATTGGTCAATACAAAAGTGAGCAGTAAAGGTCATTGTTCAAGCTTATGGACTTTTGCTTTGAATATCTTTCTTTGCAAGAAGTGTTGGAAGGATTTTTGATTTCTTCAAGGGATCAGTAAGACCCAAAGTTCAGTAACTCTGAAAGCTGTATTTTATTTCTTCAAGAAGAAAGAAAGTCTGCTTCATTTTCTTTGAGTGTCTTTGTACTGGAAAAGTAAGAAAAACACTGCTTGTCACATCAGTGGTGCAGAACTGTCCTGTAGCCATGTTAAGACATGGTTTTGTATTTCTCTATAATAAAAAAAAAAAACAACAAAAAAACCACACAAACCAAACCAAACAAACAAACAAAAACCCCAAGAAAACCAAAACCAACAAAAAAAAACAAGGAACCCCCCCCCCCAACTAAACAAAGAAAAAACAACCAACCAAACAAAAAAAAAAACAAAACACCACCCAACAAATTCAAAAAAACAAAACAAACACACAAAGTGAATAAAGTTGTCCCCATGAAAACTGCAGAGACACAGCTGGGGGACTTGCAGTTCTCAGAGGACCACATTCTGGGCTGGATTTCATTTCCAGTAACTCTGATCTGCTGCTGATATACTGCTTCTTGCAATATGGATGCACCAGCCATCTTGCCATGTTCACTTGTAGCCCACTGCCTCTTAGTCTCTCTGATAACAGGTGTGTTTTAAAATCCTTGCAGTTCTTGCCCTTGGGGAATACAGTCAATATTTCAAGCCATTATTAATCATCTGGTGAGATACTGGATAAAACACATTACTGTATTTTCATTTTCTGAACCTTTTTACAAAAGATTGGAAGCCAGGTCTCTTCCGCTGAACCAGTTTTCAGGTTACAGGCTGTGCTGAGGGCACATCATAGTCTCACTTTCCAAGTAAGTTAATTTTCTAACTTAAACTAGTAGGTTTTTTTCCTATAAATCTTCTCAATTGTAAGAAAACAGTCACATATCTTGAATTTTATCATAGTTCCATTAAATTATCTTTTACTGGTATCACAGATGTGATGGCATCAGCCTTAAAATGTAGGCAATATCATGATAAACAAATCCGGGGGGGAGTCCACTTTTTGTTTTATGTTACAAGGGAGGTTGTATAAAGGTACAAAATCGCAATTTGTAGACTGGTGAAGTTAGTTACACCCTCTGGGAGAAAACATGATGCGATAGTAAAATCTTTAGGCTTTCCTGTGTGCTTGCTGCTGTCCACCTAGTTCTAAACACGTAAATGTGGGTGTGTGTATGTGGTGTAAGATTCAGTAATTGAGAAGAAAATACCATCTCTAGAAAGGAGAGATTGGAAAATAACTTGACTGCATTAGTTATCAATTTCCTCTGCTTTGCAAAAGCTCTTTTAAAATTTATTTACAGTAAATATTTTTATTCCTTCATTTTCATTTTCTTTTTGCCTTCCAGTATCCAAAAAATGTTGGTAAGCACTTATTCAGTGTTGACCTTGGATACAACAAGCTCCTAAGAAGTTCACCAATACAGAATGTTTTAGCATTAGAGTAGCACAGATCCACTGAAATTATAGACAATTTATGCAAAGGAAACGTGCATAATCATGATTTTTCATTGAGTAATCATTAGCAGCCATCACAGCCTGAACAATTCAAAACCAGTTTCTATTTCAATTTAAAATGAAAGAGTTGGCTGTTGCTCAAATATCCTATTGTTTTCTAGGCTATATACAATCCTCAAAGTTCATTGTATCCTTGGGATCTGGCTTGAAAAATAGCTGATATAAATCATTGTCTAAATTATTTACCTGTTATTTATGGGCCTGCCTTCACCCAATCAGTAGGAAGTGTTACCTCCTCTCCCTGTTTCAAAATTCAGTTATATTTAGTCCTGCTGCTCCAAGAATGAAGTATCCTAGCATATGTTGACATGTACAAATGTTTGTTCCCAACCTAAGTGTTAGATAGGAGAGCTCCATTAGCAGTCCCTGAAAGAAAGGCTTTCCACGTAAAGAAAGACATGGAAGATGGAAGGACTAACCTCTTAGTTTCTGTTGTGAGGGGGTTCAAGTATGACAGTCAGTGTCATGTGGACAGCAAACAGAACAGCTGATGGAGGATCATGCAGCCATTCTCCCCTTGAACTGGCTGTGCCATCACCCGAGGTGTTGGCTCCACAAGGTCTATTACCAGAATAAAAAGTAAGTAACAATTCCTGTTGGGTTTCCTTCACAGCTGTGCAGTTCCGAACAGGAAAAGAGGAGCTACCTCTGAGTTTTAACACAGCATATGTTTGTGTGTACAGGGATTTTCATCCCAAATCAGCCTCAGGGTCTGCAAGTCTGTAAATCAGTATCTCCTGTAACTTTCTTCCCCTAGTTTTCTCCAAACATTTGATAGGACAGGAAGTGTAATCCTTCAAAGGATTTAAAGTATAAATCTGTTACACTGTCTCTATTTCCCAGTGTTTTGCATAACTATCTGTGGGAATGCACCATCTAATCTGTTGGCTGACCCACGGGAATATTGTTTAGGTAGTTACATTAGTTTGTATTTCCTATTAACATCATTTTTTGTTCATATCCTTGTTTGTCTCTTTGAACTACGCTCTGTTGTTCTTTCTCCATTCAAATGTGCAGAGTTCAAGAGCCAATTTATAGGAGCTTCCAGAAGTACCATTTAGTAGAAATCTGGTGTAGTTTTACAAAATGAAAATATGCAAGTTCAAGTAGGCCTGTGGCAAGTGTGAAATAAAAATCTATAGTACGATTTTCTACTGTGATACCTCTGTTAAAAGTTCTTTTTGTGTGTAATGCTTCATAGTGAAGTTGTTTCTATTTAAAGCATTGAGTTTAATCTTGGCTTTGATCTGAAGCTTTTGATCTTGAAAAAAGCATGTTGTGGCAGTAAAACAAAAAGGGTAGGAGAGAGGGGTTTTTTGGTGTGGGTTTGTTTTTTTTCAGTGATAAAGGGATACTGTCAAGATACAGTACACACTAATTGGACCTATCTTCATTTGCTTAAATCTGTTTGCAAAGGCCATCTAATTCTATATATAGGAGGATCTGCTCAAATATGTGCTTTAATGAGCCTTATTCTTTTACAAGAGCATAGATTTTCTTTTGACGCTGTCAGGAAATTGTCATATATAGCACAGAGTATATTATTTTTTAAATATTAAAAATACCTTTCTATCATAATTTTAACTGTATCGAGTATGATGCAGTCTATCCTTTATTGTCTGTCATTTTAAATGCTAAACACAGATCACTAAGTAAAATCCTAAATTAGGAATTTATAGTGTTCAGATTTTGCATATGGTGTCTTCCATCATAGCAGAGCTTGTATATTCTCTTCAAAGAGCACAGAAACATCTGTTGAAATCACATGCCTAAATTAAATCACCTGCTTGCAGTCTCTTGTTGAATAAAGCATTTAACTGGACCCTCAATTAGGGGCTTGCTGTGCTGTCACATGATTAATGACCTGGTTTGGTTCTTGCTTTTAAGGCACATTTCAGGCCCTCCAAGGTAAGTTAATAGTTGGATTCTTCAGGTACTAGGCCAGTACTGGGGGTAAGCTGAAGCGCTTCATGGTGGTTGTACTTCCTCTCTTGAGCCAGCCCCATTAGCTCGTTCCTCTGTGAATACCTGGGATAGCGGGCGGTTATAGGAAGGTTAACAGGAAAAGCGTTTGTCATAATGAGAGACAACGAGAGCGTCTCTCTGAAAGCTAGACCGTAACCCCGCGACAAGCGGTCACGCCGACGTTCGGAAGGGCCGCCGCCTCAGCCAGGCGGTACGCACCACCGCTGCGTGCTGCGCGCAGCTCGGCTGGCCTCGGTATTCGCACCGCCGGAGGGCGGAGAACCGGGCCCCGCCTGCCGCCGGCGAGGCACCGCTGGCGGTATTTCGGGCTGGGCCGGGGGAGGCGCGGCAAGCCCCGGCGGGGCCGCCCCGGAGCCCCTGGTCCGTACTCCTTTCAAGCGCTCCTCCTCCCTCCACAGACATGAGGGCCAGAGCTCGGGGGCGGGGACCCCGCGGAGGTGTTTCATTTCCGACCGAGGGCTGCGGTGTGCCGCCACTGGGGACGCCAACGGCGGCAGGGGACTGGACGGGACGGGGCAGCGCGGGGCGGGACGGGCGCGGCTCCGGGCCGGGGGACGGTGTCGGGCGGGACGGGTTTGCCGCAGCGCGTCCCGTCTTGTTCTGTGCCGTTCGCCCCGCGCTCCCTGGTGAGCGGAGCATAAGCGGGGATACTCCGCTTGCAAGCTCGCCTTAGTGTGCGCTTTCTCCCCCATGTAGCCTTTGCTGGAGGAGGGCGAGACGTGGAAGGAGAGTCGGCTCGTCCAGCAAGTGAGCGGCGAGGTGAGGAGACAATCTTCCGCAACTCTTAACGTTGTTCCCGCTTCGTTCCTTTGCCAATCTGTTCCCCAAGTTTTTCACCTGACGCCCCTCGCCACTCCCGCCATGCTTTAAAACAGTTGCTTTCATATGGGAATAAAAACATTTGTGTGGGGGAAAAAACTGAAGAGTTACTTCTTTATTAAATGATAACAACCCCATCGACTAAATTTGGCGTTGGTAGTCTGGAACAACTTTGGAGTGGGTGGCTGGAAATAAACCTCTTACTGGAAATAGAAGGTGTAAGGGATGAAGCGCAGAGATTTTCCCCAGGATTTTTGCGCACCGCAGTGGTAACTTTCTGTCCGGATTTCCATTTGGCAGCCCAGTCTGTCATCAAACATGTTCTTGTGCCCAAAACTTTTAAACTGAAAACACCACCTCGCACTTTGACCATGCACAAGTAACTCACCAGATCACCTACGACCGTGTTATTCTAGATGAGCAGAAGTGCTGTTTGTCTTTGTAGTGAAGCAATGGAAAAAAAATAGTCTGGAGTCTGTTTATAACTTCTTACTAATGTTGAAAAGCTGTGCTTGGGTCACATCTTCATGCTAAAAAAGCACTATGGTTTTAATCCAGGTCACAAAATGGATTCGGACAAACCAGATGATGAGAAAAAGTGGCAAAAAGAAAAGAAGGCTGGATGAAGTTGTTTTCCAAAAGGTAAGGGTTCCCAATGTGTGTTTGTGTAATTGGACGAAGGGTGGTAAATCCAAAATGCTTTCCCATGACACCTTCTTAAACTTTTAAGGAGGTGTTTTCCAGCGTCTTCAACAAGGTGATGGTGAAAAGGCGTTACTGGTAACAGTTTCAGTGTCACTATGTAATTACAATGGAAAAAATAATTTTCTCAGGTGTCTGTAATTTAGAAGACAACTTCCTCAGAATGTTCCAGTTTTTAACTGGATGTTAATGTTTTTAACTCTAACATTCTGAGGGAGAAAGAGAAGAGTGCTTTCATCAGAGAAATTAATAGAACTTGAGAGCTTTTGACAGGACCTACTACTATTTGCATATGTTCAGTTGCTGGTAGCTGACAATTTTCATTGTGGGTGCTGGGGCAATAATAGATGTGATCTGTACATTGAAACAAATAGTTCTAACTATGCTGTTGTCACATAATTCAGAGGGTCAGTTTGGAAATAATCTATTTGCAATGTAGATTTCAATTAATGAGAATGTGCCTAGATGGTTATTTTATAATTACTACAGAAGATTTTTTTAAACTCAATGCAGCCTATATTAAACTTTTAAACAGATTTTTTAGTAGCTGTTGTGATACATTTGTTCTGTACTCTTGAGTTGACCATTTAAATCACAGTGTAGAGAGAGGTGACTGACACTTTTCTGAATAGCTGTTTTCTTTTACAATCAGATTTAGAATTATTTTTTTTAAACCTCTTACCTTTAAAGGATTAAAATGGCAGTGTGTTGTTTTGCTGTTTCGACAGTGCTTCTAGAATGCATGATGAATCATTGCTGTTTCTGTAGCCAAATTCTTGCTGATAGCATGGCTGCCAACTCCTGGATGTGTTGCCTTAGTATGGGCATTGCAGTATATGACAAATGTCTGTGAAGTGCATTGTTGTGTGGGGATTTATGAGCTCCATGGTGAGTTAAAAAACCACCAAATAGCATCCTGTAATTCACTACTACTTTTACTTTGTAACTGGAATACATTGTTTAGGAAAGATGTTCTGTGGTGCTGTGTTAATGGCATGATCTAAACAGAGACAGCATAAACTACTGCATAAACTAATTCCATTTCTTTGTATTTTGGTGTGTGACCGTTTGCATGTATGTGTAGCATCTGTATTTACAATCTTTTTAAGATGAAGAATTTTAAAGTATCGCTCTGTGAATTCGAGAGCAAAATGCATTCAGAGTACATCCAGCCCTACTACAAGCTACAGTCTGCACACATTTTTATGTAATTTTTAAAGGTGCAAAGTAGGTTCCCTGCTACATTTAGATACCTTGTGCTGTTATACCTGTTCTCATCCCTTTCTATTGAAGAAGGCTTCCTTAGTGCAAAACCCCTTTGTACCAATAAAATTCCATTGCTGTTGGGGGGTGGGGGGGAGGGCGAGGGGGGGGAAGTTGTTCTACTTCACTGTTAGAAATGTGAAACCTAATATGTAAACCTAAGGTATAGTCGTGTTTTTTTTTAAACAGTAATACTTGAGTAAGGTCTGTGAGCAGAAATGTGAATTAAAATTGAAGGCAAGGATACACAGTCTTCTGTTTCTATAAGTATTAATAATTCTTGGAAATTGAGTGCAGATTCTCAGCACTGCATTGGCAGGGTACTTAACCCCATGGAAAGGAAAAGGCGTAATGATATGTTTTGTGGTGGAACCACTGACGAGGCACCAAGGGTGGGATTCCTCATCTGCTGCAGAGTGTGGTCTTTGCAGCGGTGACTTCGCCAGTACAGTTAAGAGAAAAAAGACAAGGGAACTCCCTGGTGCTGGCAGATCTTTATTGTATTGTTTTGTTTGGAGTTGATTACAAGTAGGTTTCCAGCATGGCACCAGTCAGTGTGGATGGTGCGAACCTCTCTTCCACTAGAATTCTTGATTTTTCAGTCGTGTCTGTATTGGCTTGTAGCAGAAATGACATCATAAAGCAGTGGAAGTACTTTGGGAATAAACAAGACAACAAGAAAGAAAAAGGCATGTAATGGAAAGTAGGGTGCACTTGAAAAAATCAGCAGAGGTAGAAATAAAACCATGGAGTGAGAAGAGGGGGGTGAGAAGCAGAGCAAGAAGTAAGCACAGAAGTCAGAGCTGGTACCAGCTCACATCACAAGTATGATTAAAATAAAGATACTGATGTATTTTGCTACATGTGGAAAACTGAAATTCACATTGATCCTGCTTATCCTTTCAAAACAAACACTAACTTACTGAATGTAGCTTCTAAACTTTCATGTGCCTGTGCCGTCCGATTTTACTCTATCGCTTTTCTTTCTTTGTGGTGGAAAGTCCTTTTTCTAATACAAGATGGATGGCTTTGCTATACCGAGACATTGCCAAATCAAAGCAAGTGCTTCTGCGTCCACGTATAAAATTTAGGACAGATAACTCTATGGAATAAGTGAAACGGAATCGTATAGGAAAGGTTGCTGACAATTACTGGGGAATTACTTACTGAAAAAAGTTGCCTTCTAAACAGTTACATGTGTAGGAGCTGACTTTACATACATGTATGTGTATTTAAAGAACATTTGAAGATAGTGTGTGCTGGATAAGAACTGTGTAACTGCTAGTGTTAACTGCATATATAAACATATAAATGACATATATATATGTAAACACATAAAAGGCATTTAAACTACTGGGGAAGCTCATGTAGAAAGTTGCGGTGCTGCTCTCCTGTGTGGTTCCACACAGAGTGGATTGCAGCAGTGTTAACAAATTCCGTGGTTGAGACTTTCTAGTCATGTAACTAAGGGCCCTTGTTCTTTTGCTCCTTTTCTCTCTGATACTTTTTTTTTGAGTTTTTTTTCCCCTTTCAACCTTTTTGCTGTTCTGTTCCTGTAGGATTTTTTCGTAGTAGCTTTTATTACAATCCCTTCACCCCTGTTTGTTTCTCTGTTCTCCTTTGTCTCCTTCAGTCACCTTCAGTACTGTTCATTACTTTCCATTTACTTTCAGTTGCTTTTTCTAAGCTACCTTTTGTCCACCTTGTTTTCTGTTCATGGTTCTCTGTAGATATTCTTCTTATGATGTGTGTGTACACATACATAAGCCTAAACACACTCACCTGTTGCATTTCTGCTTTTTTTCATCCCTCCTATTCTCATGCATTCTTTTCACTCATTTAATCTTACTCTGTTTCTTCATCTTGTCATTTTGCTGGTCAGCACATCTAGTTTTAGTTAAAGTTAGTGTTGCGTTATTTATGGAGAGTGTGATAGAAATGCTGAGTGTTACTATTATTTTTGTTGCAATACTGGACACTGCCTGCTTGGAAAAAAAGAAATCCATTATCTATGCCAGTGCTGGGTGTTAGGCAGAAGAAAATAATCTTTCAATCAGTCCAAAGGAATTGTAGCAGATGATCTGTATCCACTGTGAGATTTGAGAAGAAACATACCTTTTTATTAAGAGACTAACTCACTTTTATATGAAGTTCAGTATTAGACTATAAAACCTGCTTTGAAAGTATGCCTATGGTAGAAAGTGTCATAGGATGAGATATCAAGGGTACATAGCAGTTAAGAGAGAGCACTGAAACACATGTTTATATACCAGATAAAGAAGATGATTTGTACAGATTATCAAAATTGCATTTGTCTCTTTCAGTTTTAGTTTGTTTCTATACTAAACTTTGAGGAGTAATTCAGCTTTTCCAGAATAATTCTTCTGTTTTCTCAGAAATACTGTTTTCACATGTTTAAAATTTGTCTACTAGTTTACTAAAAATGTAATTGTCTTTGATTTTTTTCCTATTGATGATTATTCTCACTCGAGAGATTTACAGTTGTCAGTATTTAAGCTCTGTTAATAACCTAAGAAAAAAATTACTTTGAAATAGCTGTTAAGTTTCCAATAAAAAAAACCCAGACAACCAAAGCAAAACCAATTGTGGTATATATATGACTAATGCTAAATGCTTTGTCCTTTAACAACAAATTCACCAGTATAACTGAAACACAAAGACCAAATCTTGTAATTCATTAAAATTAAATGTGGTGTTATACTTCAAGTAGAAAATATTTTGAAGTCTTAGCAAAACATAGGTAGGGGGAAGAAACTATAACATGGTAAAAGAGAGCTTTTATTTAACTAAGGAATTAATTCATAATAAGGATTATATGCTTCTGCTAATTTATGTAAAGAAATATTACATAAATTAAAATTAATTTAAGACTTTAATTACCATGCATTTTTTGTTTCTTGAAATGAATGTTTTTACTTGATTCCGCCAGTCAGAGAATCAAAGTAAGGATCAAATCTGAAAAACATCTTTTGAGTTTGTGCACTACGAAGTGCTTAATAGCTAGAAGAAACACAGCAGTAAGTCCTCAAGTGTTCTTCAGAGAGTGTTCAGTGGAGTAATTTGCTGTACCTGGCCTTTCCAAATTCTGTTAATCTCAAAGAACTTCTAGGAACCCTGTAAATGTATTAGATGGCCTTCACTGATTACAAATACATTTAATTCTTGTGGCAAACAGGGATTTGGATGGAAAATTTTACACCCACGTCATGCACAAGAGCTGAATTGCAGTAGAGGTTGTTAAGCTATCGGAGAAATAAAGCCTGCAATTTGAAAAAAACTTTTGCCCTGAATACATCTGAATAAAATTTCAGGCCATTAAAATGAAACATTTTCAGCGTTTAGTTTTCCATCCCAGTAAAAAATCTGTAATTATGGATTGTTTGGAAACTCCAATTGTAGTATTTTTTAGGATAGTGGTGCTTTAGAGTTCACATAAGAAACATTTAATAGAACAAGAAAACTATATAAGAAAAACCAACTTAAAAATTTGAGTGGAATTTTTGATTGAGCCTTAATAGTTTAAAAAAAAAAATAGTCCAGTTCTGACTACAGTGCAAGCTCTATCCTATTTGCAGTAGTGTTGTGTCAGGATCTCAGTTTCCTTTTTAGTAGCACCCATCTCACTACGAAGAAAGTGCTGTTGCGTGGCATATTTC